TTCTGGCCACCCTCTTGGCACAGATCTTTTGTTATGGCATGGCTGAGAAAAGGTTTTTGGTGGCATTCAGTAGCTGTGTGATGTGATTGTTTTCTGCTGCATGTCACAGTCCTTTAAGATAGGAGTGACTGCACCAGATAGAAAGGCCTGCAGCTCCCTCCTTGGTGAACTGCTGAGCCTTGGATGTGAGACACCATCAATCTTCAGAGTGTGATGGGCAGGGAAGTGGAGGGTGAGAAGCCTTTGAGAGAAATGCAGCATGGAGCTGGCAGCTATGGGTCAAGGAGAAGACTGCTGAGACGAGCAGAGATCAAACACAGCCAGGCCTCAGTGGTGACAGAAGTTATTTGCTAGAAATGTAATGGGGATCATGTTTGCCGAAACTAGGAAAGCTGCTGAGTTGGCTGAAGACAGACTTGGGAGCAAGGACACAGTGGGAAGAGAGCACTCTTTTATAAGTCCTTTTAATTAATAATCTGCTGGTCCTGGTCCTTTGAAATCTTCTGTATTTTACAATGTGAAGTATTACACTTTCAGTTATAATAAAACTTGCCCTTCTGGAGTTTAAACAGCTTTGGTCCTTTTAAAACACTGCAAGAGAAAGGTCCAGGAAACCACCTCAAAGCACGGCCTGACTCAGGCCCTCTCACATGTTCTCTTTAGACCAATCTTCTAAGAAGAGAGGTGGCCTGTCCTGAGGGGGCTCTTCTCTATACTGTGGTGTCTGGACTGTGGTGATATGCAAAGGGTAAAGTTGGGCAATCCAAGGTCAGCTATCATGACAACGCTGGCCAAAGTAGGACTCAAGGGCCTAGGTCCAGGAAGAACTGGAGAGGGTCCAGCAAAGGGCAACTGAGGCAGTCAGAGGCCTGGGGCACAGGGATTAGAAGGAGAGGTGGAGTGAGCTGGGCTGGGTTAGCCTGCTAATGAGAATGGTAAGGGGGAATTTAATCTCACCTATAAGTACTTGGAGGACTGTTACAAGAGGGTGGAAACTAACTCTTCTCAGGCAGGGTAGATGGTTTATCAAGGGCCAGTGGGCACAGATACAGGCTGGAATTTAGGAAAAGCATCTTCCCCAGGAAGGTGATGCAGTCCTAGGACAGGTTACGGGAGAGATGGGGAATCTCTGTCCCTGGGATTTTCCAAGAATTGGCTAGACAAAGCCATGGCCTCCCTGATCTACCATTGGTGATAGTCCTGCTGCAAGCAGAAGGTTGAATGCAAGACCCACGTGGTCCTTTCCATCAGGTCCTTTGGGCCTACTGGGATCGTGAGGCCCAAATCACGCACGGCAGCGTGACTCTGTGAAGTAGCTCTTGTCAGACTGTCCAGATTTTTTTCATGAACTCAGGAGTTAAGCCAATTGCACAGATCTAAACCAGTGTGAAACACTGTGCTCAGCATCAGTAGCATCTGTAACATGTGAATTTAGTTTTAAACAAGGCTGTTTTAAGAAGGCTGGCACTAAATGGGGACTCATACCATATCCAGCAGAATGCAGGTAGAACATGCCCTTGACTCAGTATCTCTCATTATAATTATCAGAGATCCGGAAGACAATGTAAAATCATCGCTGGCAAAATGTTCCTAAAGAGTCCAAAATGGCAGTGTTGGGAACCATAATAGCTCTACAGAGCAATAAGCACAGCTTGATGGCTAAGCCCATGAAAACAATTAAAAGGTTATGTTTAGGTCTGGAAACCGAAATGCAGGTCTCACTTGATGAATGGGAGACAGCATCTAGCAAAGCAGTGTCTGAAGGGACTAAGATGTTGTCATAGAAACACTCAGGGTATGAGCTCCCCGAATGGCTGAGAGAGGTAGCACAATCTTTGGATGTATAAAAGGGAACAGTGACTACAGAAAGGAAAGTAGTTTGTTTGCAGTGGAACTACTGCTGGGTACAATATAAAATTCAAAAAAATGATGATGAAGAATATGAAAGTGTCCGAAAAGAGCCATAGAAAGAGCTACATTCTGGAAAGTCATCTAATACCAAGAAAGGGTGATTCAGCTTAGTTTAATTACCTCTTATTTTTCCTTGAGAGAACCTATTCACAGTTTGTCTCTACATGAGAAGAAATAGCCCACTACCACAAGGCAACAGCAAAATAAGTTCTAATGATGTAAAGTGAATGTTAGTGAAATCCAGACTAGAAGTAAGGCGCACTTGTAAAATGACAGCGGTAATTAATCATTGGAGAGCGATACAACAGCAATGACTGTAGCTGTCTTTGGAAGAACAGGAAGGTTACCTGTAGGTCACCTTCCTTGACCTAAAGCATCTCTTTTAGGACCACTGTCACCCCACCAGCACATCTACCCACAAGTGCCATTCCTCCGGTCACACTCAGTACCTGCCTTTTGGTTGCTCTACAGGGATGAATTTCCCACTCTCTCACAGCAGCATTTTCCTGGGATGCTGAAGGTTAAAAATGCTGCTGGTGACACGGCATCTCACCTCACCCTAGAAAGCAGCAAACACAGGAGTTGCAACAATGCCCTAACAGTGGTCAATTTATCCCTGGGTGAACCAAGGCAATATTGCCTTGCTTTCTAATGCTAACTTTCAATACACAACCTTCTCATTCATGTGCAGATGTGAGCGTGACATTTGCTGTCTGTGCACGCCCCTCAACTCCATCTTTTACAGCTTCCCGTCTCCTTCAAGCCTTACGTCAGCTGGTGCCTCAATGGAGACAGCACTTCTTTATGTGTCTGCCCCAGCCTGACATGCATCGAGCACCATCAGCCTGCTCAGCTTCCAGCCTCGAGCTACCACCACGCAAACGCAAAAGGTACAGAAGTTTGGCCTCGGCTTTCCAGCAGGTCTTTCCACCCGCTGGGCTGGGAGAGCCCCCAAAGTCCAGCAGAGCGAGTGCTTCGCCAGGAGCAAGGAGCAAGGACGAGCCCTGCCTCTGTGGCAGGCAAGCAGGCGCGCATGCAATCCTCTGCTCTGCCTGAGACTTGAGCTGGAGGCTCGACCCAGAGCCTCTCCCTTGCAAAGGCAGACCCGCCAACCACTGCGGTGCTGAGGGGGGCTGTAACCATCAGTTCCCCTGAGCTCATCTCCTCCCTTCCCCCACTCCGCTCTCCTTTTACTACAACACCCTCTATTCTCCTCATTCCAGCTCTATATTGTATCTGCAGCTTCTGTTACCAACTGCTAATGATCTACATCAAGGCTGCCAGGCGGTGCTGAGTGTAAGCAGAAGAATTCAGAGCCTCTAATTACAGAGGAATTAGCAAGCAGACAGTTACTGTTTAGTGCTAATGAATAGATACATTAAGAGAGACATCACACAGGCTGAGAAGTGTGAGCCCTGATAATAAAGCAGTGTCAAAGAAGGAAAACACAAGGAGGAAGATCCAGGGGACTGGGAAAAAAAAAAAAATCCATCTGCAACTTCAGCTCTCCGTTTGCCACTAAGGTGGAAGCGGTCACAAACAGTGCATTAAGGTAACAACTACACCACAGAACTGCCAAGTGTGAAATCCAAATGTTAAATAACTTATCCGTAGTGTGGGAACAACACTGGGGGAGTACGGAGACACCTGCTAGGCAGTTAGCACCACAGCACACTGTCTTCACTGGCCACAGGCAGTTCTGTAAAGGAAGCTGCAACAACCTACCCTTCCAGTTTCCCTCTCAGTGTCATGTGTGGACATGTTCCTGTTCCTAATCAAACCACGGTTCAATGCTATGCTAAATCTGCCTTTAGGGTTACTGATACCATATTAAAAACACCGTAGCCCCATGACTGCTGACTTAAGATCAGTGGTCACTCTACCCGTTCATGCGTCACCAAAACCGTTTTGGAGCTTAGCTCTGTCTTGGCAGTCTCCATGCCCAAGCAGGATTACCTGTCTATACCACTGTTGCTTTACATTAGAGCAAATACCATCTGTCCGCTTGCAGCCAGCCCAAACCATGTCTCGTGCACTCCAAGTAATTCTATGGAAATGCAGTAGTCTACTCCTGCCCAATACAGTCTTGAAGATCATGTAGTGTCCAGGGCAGCCTGGGGCACGTTCACACTTACCATGCACAGATTGCATGCATTCAGGCAGAGTGCAGAAACCCACCTGTTCCCGCACACGCTTACACCATATTGGTGTGCTTCCACCGTACAATCGGATTAAGCAAAGACTCAGCCCAAATATGTGCTTCAACTCCAGATGGCTTCAAGTTGGACCCAAGGGAAGCAGGATGGACCTCTCCCTGATTAGCAGTTCTTCAGGGCATTCTGCCACCACCACAGCTGCTAGCTGGTGGCTACTTGTGAATCTCCTCATTTGTTGCAATACCAGCAACCCTGACATGCTCCTTCCCCCAGCAAAGCCACCTCTGCACAGGGGGAGCGTACACACTCCCTGGACCAGTGCAGTAGCTGGTGACTCTGCATGAAACCCTTCCAGCTTTGCTGCTTGGTCTTCTTCACCAAGAGCAGTGGAGAGGAGCTCCTGAGCACTGGAGATGACTTTGCAGTGAGATGGCACAGGACCTGCTTGGAATAGCTTTCTAAACAATCTTCCGGTATATCTGGCTCTCAGTCCCTCTTCTGTGCAGCTTTCTTCCGTGTTAAAGACCAGCTCTGGTCATAGGCCATGATTTTTCTGCAACCAGGGCAGAGAGTGCAACTTGTGTCAAGATGCTCATGCTAATTTTGTTTGCTCCTCAGGAACCAAGAGCCATAATAGGGCCTGTAGCATGGCTGCCAGTAATGCTGAGAGTTATTGCTGTGTCTTCAATAGTATCAGCAGCCAGGGAACCTGAATTAAAAGTACCTTTCGGGAGGGCACTTGCTGGCAACAACCTTAAAAACACTGTCATGCAAGCCTCTCCTCCTCCCCCCTGAAAACCCCACTCCCCCCCCCGCCCCCCAACAGTTTCACCCAGCACCTCTTGACCAGGAGAACAATCTCAGCCCCCTACTTCCCTTTCCCAGGGTCTCAGCCTGGACAGATGTGGTGGGAGATATGGAGCTGTTTCTTACCAGCTTGGTTGGTCGTGATATTAACTGAGGCAAACTGTGGAGAGAAGGGGCTCTGGTCGGTGACTCCATTCACAGCCTGGATCTCAAAGGTGTACTGTGTGTGGGCGAGCAGGTCACTTATGTAGATGCGAGGCTCTGTCAGGCCCAGCTGGCGTGGGGCGAACTGCACGTTGTCCCCACAGCGTGTGCATGCCCCACGGCCAGAGCCACAGCTCTTGCAGATGATGTTGTACACCAGATCCTCCCGGCCTCCGGAGTCCCGCGGCGGGGTCCACTCCAGCATTAGGGAGGTTTCATTCACACTGGAGATCACAGCCTGAGGGGCAGACGGGATGGCTACAAAGGGAATAGAGAGAAAGAGGTATGAGCCCAAGACCTGCCCATCACTATAGCAGATCTGTGCTCCCAGTTTTAGATGGGAAAAGAGAGACTGGTGTCTGGCAAGGCTACTCCATGGTGTACTGCCTTTGTCTATGCTGCAGCAGGGCACAGGAAACAGATTTAATAATGTTACCCTCCTCCTCAGTCCCAGCATGGGATGTAAAGCCTGCAGCAGCTCTTTTAGGTCAGCAGGAGCTCTTGGAGGGTGCTGGATGGGACCAGTTACCTGTCCTGTGCCTCCTCCTTTTCCCTTGCCCCAGACAAGACTCAGCTCTGCAGAGTAGCCTGCAGTCCCATTGCAGGATACACATGCTGAGCCTGGGTGCTTGGTGTCAGGGCCATAGCAAGCGAGCTGAACAGGTCAGAGGCAAGAATGGGAATAAACCCCCTCTTTCCTACCCAGGCCAGCCCCTGCTAATTTGATCACATGGTTCCCCTGACAAAGTTCACCACTATTTTTACAGCATTTCTGATTCTTGTTCTTTGCACTAAACCCCTGGGTACAGGGGTGGCATCTAGGCCCAGCCCCAGGGTGAAGTCATGCCAGTGCCTAGAACAGCACAGGGGAGCCCAAATTTCTCTCCTGTTTGCATTTAAAACGTTTGCAAGCACAGACTAATCAAAGAGTAAGCAGGACACTGCAAGGCCATTCTGGAAGAGGTAGCCCCCTGGCTACAAATATCCTCCGAAACCCCTCTGAGATAGAGGCCTTTTGGCCTGGGATGGTTTGCTAGGCCTCCCACAGTGTTTTGACTGACTTGTGTCTCCTCTGCCAGCCATGTGCGCCCCCTTCCCAGTTGCTCAGAGCCCACATACTGGTGCATGGCATGTCGACAGGATCAGCATCTGCCCGGTAATATCCGTTTCGGCACACGCAGTTAGTGGCCCCTTCCGAAGTCGTCCGGCTGTTAATTGGGCAGTGAACACATCCTTCGTCCCCTTGGCTGGCCTTGAACGTCCCTGATGGGCAGCCTGGAA